CCCCCCCTTTGTGCCTCGCTTCGCGAGCTTCGGTACTCTCGCGTAAAAAAAAATAAGGGCTATTTTCAAATCCTGGGGAGAACCCTGATTTTGTACAAAAAATCCCAGAAGTGATGTTCACAAAAACAACAAAACAGAGGTCTATAACGTTTTTTTTTTTTTTTTGTATCATAAATAAATTGCTTTTTGAGTTTAACAGAATATTTTATTCTATACCTAGGGGGAAAAAAAAGTAATACCTTTCAATTATATCTCATTTCATGAAAGGAATTTCACTTCAAGTTGAAACTCAATTGCATACAATTTCAAACTAAAAATAACCAAGTCTGTATGATTACACTTCACAACTTACCTGGGAAAATGTCATTGAGACTAACTGGTGGTTTATTTGTATCTATTGTGACTTTGTGTGTGGCCATCTTCACGGGAAGGCATGGGTGAATAACAAGTTTAATGGGTAGTGAGATCAGGGCTTGTGCTACTCTTGGAGCCCCTGCAGCATTCTGATAGGTGGCAGTAATTTCGGCACTAAGATCTGATGGCATAAAGTCATTCTTTAAAAAGAATGAAATTAGCACTTCCCCTGGTCTATTGGAATCTGAAAAAGAAATTGAATGATTAAAAAAAAAAAAAAAGGACGAATTAATATCATTAGTTTACTTACTTAAGGGAGTAGCATGTTTAAGTTATGCATTCTAAAGTCTTAAAGAAATTTTTGGTTTCAGATATCCCATCAACTATCAAATCAGTACTGTGCAATTACACAACTATGTTAAAGCTAATGTTCTCAGTATTAAATAAGAACTAATAATAATGCAATGCATGGCAATGTGACAGGACAGAGTATCCTGTATCTTACCTAGTGTTGAGAACTGGTATTGTGTTTGACTTGCTGCCAGAGGAAGTGCAGTATGGACAGAAAACCGTACATTCTGAACTGCTGTCTTTGCCTTAATGCTGACCTGTGAATGCAGAAACATTTTTAAATGTCTTGTTTTTTCCACTCCCTTCTCCTTTTTATTTATTCACTTTTTTGGCAGGGTATAGAGGGGGGGTGGAGAGCGAACTAAAATGTTCCTACATGTGCTAATTTAAACTAATAAGTCTATAAATATATTGTCTTTTTATTATCAATGAAACTATGTAGAAGAGCAGAAAATTTGATAAATAAATACTTGTTTTATGGACACAAAGCCGTATGAAGTTAAGCCAATCTAGCTTACCTTAACTGTAATAGATGGAATGGTTCCTTCACTATCTGAGATCTCTACACCTTGAGCTTGCTAAAAAATAAAATGGAAAGATAAATATAGGAATATCAAATTATCTACAAAAGTAAACCAAACTGACTGTATATGTTGTATTTACAATGTTCTGTAAATAGTTTCTTAGCCTATAACACTATTCCATGCAGAATCATTTCCAAAACAAATGGCAACAAACTCCAAGCACCTAATTAGACCATAACACACCTTTAAAACCAATGTTCACTTCAAATCACTATACACTTATGGACTATATTTTTATGCTGCTGAAGTGGGGACTAATATAAGTGCACGTTTAGCACATTAAAAGTTGTCCAATGGTAATTATATTAATGAACAAATACTGAGAAAATTTTGCACAAAATCTTTGCTGTACAGCTGTAACATTTTTTCAACATAATAACCAAACTTGTATGCATGATTTTAGTTTTATTTACACGTTGTTGACATGAGGTTAAACCATAAATTAAGTGCTCCTATAATAATTTGTTGTGAAAGAAAAAGGTCACAAACATTTACACACACTTATAAATATTTGCCTGTTAAAGTTTATGGGGGTAGATAAGAGAGACACATAAACTAGACAGATACACTTTGTGGTTTGACAAAATCTTGTCGATGTTACATCCCCAAACAACTACACATCCACGCCCAAGGAAAAGCAAAGACCATGTGTAGCCATGTCCATGACGTCAATTGGATAGATAATTAATCAACACGACAAAGAATGAGACCACACAACTTACATGTACCAACTTTACTGGTTCATTTTACTTATTTAACAACCAACCAACCAACAAACCAAACATCAAAATTCAGACCACTTGAGACACCATGCATCACTTACATAGTGGTCACTGAACCTTAGTATGGAATTAGTAGCAAAATCTACTTCCTCTCTAGATCTGACATGATATGTTTCATAGGTGGGAAATTCCAAACCCACTGCTTGCTATCAGGTATACAATAACAAACAAGGGCTGTGTTACATGGTGACATGTTTTGCATGCACAATATTTTTACAGAAGTGTACGGTATAATTTAAATTCAACATAGAATACTAGAGGATCAGAGAGGCGATACCGCCTCCGGATATTGTACCACCAGCTGGAGTAAGCGCATTCGTATGGACCCCCCCACCCCACCAGAAAGGGACACCATCACCAGTCTTGTGCTTGACAAGCT